TATAGTAAATATATTTTATGATAAGTATTATAGTCGTGATAAAAAAAATTAAAAATATACTTAACGTGTAAAATATAATTTGTCAAAAAAAAAAAAAAAACGGATATTTTTGATATTTCTCGGGTATTTTTAACAATATTATAATAATTAATGAATATTATACGCAAAAACGTGACACTTTTCAAAACCATATTATTTTCAATTATCTAACTATAATACTTATCATAAAATATATTTACTATATTGACGATAATTATAATCTTAAATTGCGGATTTTCATGTAGATATATTGTTATTTTCTTTTGACATTTTTAAATTTTTGTCTTTACAAAATAAAATAGTTTAAACTGTTATAAGCATATTTAATGGGTATTGTGTGTTTGTGCTATTTTGACAAATTTCAATAAAATATATTGCATGTTGATTATTGCAGCTAACTTTTTTTTTTTAAGATATAAAATAATATTTCGTCAAGAGGAAAATTTAAAAATAATTTTTTTGGCATCTAAATATTCATTGGAAATAATTTAATTTAATTAATTATTATAGTCACCTAAAAACAATAAGTTGTTTAATTTAATTTAAATTATTTCAACAACTCATAAAATTATAGACCAATAATTGTTGTTGAATATTTCAACGATTTTCACTGAATATACTGTATGGCATATTTTTATACTTTTTAGCGCATTAGTCATAATCACTGAAAATCATAGAATTTAAATAGGTGATCACTTACATAATATATTTTGACTAAAATAGGGAACTATTTTTATCTTGGTACTTAATATTATGGTTTGGTATGTTTTCCGAGAGRTTTGAAGTAGAACAATCTTTTTTAAAAATTGCAATAAGTTTGGGTGACCAAACCATTTTTATTATCCTTCAATAGAAAAACATCGTTTAATTCGTTTTACAACAAATATTTTAATTTTTAATTTTATGACCCATATTTGTTTCATTATACGTAATAACTATATTAATAACTCACTCTAACACATATAACGACTTGTTAAAAATAATTTTTGAAAGTATTTAAATGTTGAATAACTTACTTAAATTAAAAATTATTTAAATTTAGTTTTTAATAGGTATTTAAATATAAATGGATTCAAAAAGTATTTAAAACACTTTATGCAAAAATTAATTTCCTCATAATAATTTTGAAATATTTGTCAAATATTTACATTTACCGAGCATGACAAAATTAAACAACCGTAGGTCGTTGACTTGTCGACGACTGGCCTTTATTGATGCAATAAATAGTCGAAAACCTCACTACACGACTAAAAATTTATTTTAAATGAATTTCGTAATTAATGTATTAAATACAAAATTAATGAATTAATTAATTAACATAATAAATATTTTGTAAAAATGGTTCACGTATAATACATTTAATTAATTTAAATTTTAAATAAAAAAAAAAATTGCAATTAAATTTGAATGTAAATTTAATTTGAATTAAATTGATCAAATATTACATACAATTTATATTTTAGAAAAACCCTTTTTAGGGATAATTACCTTAAAATGGACGTTTTAATAACTTAGAAATAAGTAGGTACTCCTTAGAATTTTGAATTAGTTCCATCAAAAATGTTCTAAAGACACCTGTTAAATAATATGCAGTAAAAGTGAGGTGATTTCGTTTGAAAAMTWAAAGTTAAAATGTTTGTATTTACACCACAGGGTACTCYTCAAGTGGTACCTATAAAAAAATATCATGAATTTTAAAATGTAGTCTATAAGTATAGGTACATAAAAGTTATAAAATTTWAAATTTGAATAAATGTACGATTAAGAGGTAAATGTGATGGGAAGGGGTGTTGAGATTATTTAAAAAGTCATCTTGTATATTATCTTAATTAGGTATCTTATGGACAGAGACTACGTATATTTAAAGTAGTATCCAGTATAGGTACATGGCATTAAATTATAGAAGTAGGATTTCTTAAGCCGTCAAATATTTGAACAAATTTTAAATAGTTAAATATTGTATTAATAGGTTCCCCACAAGAGTATACTTTTATATTTTATCATTATTAATGATTAATCCCCATATGCATAGTTATTTTATGTATGTAATTATTATTTTATTTATTTTATGCATACGGGCATAATAGTTTTAAATAAAACAAATTTTAATAATATACATTACAATATTATTTTTGATACTATCGTATACCACGTAGAGCTATTTCTATAAGCAGGAACGTTATAGACATTTTCCTAGGACTATAGATAGGTATAGGTCGAATGTAGAATGTGGAATATTGTGAGATGTATTTAGTGCCAACTGACTGAATGACATCTTCCTCGATATAATTTAGTAAAAATAAATATTAGTTTCTCGTAAGTATATACGTGYCAGTGCTTTGAATATTGTGGGTAAGATGACGCGAAAAGTGAGAAGAGAGAAAATCAGTAAAATCGTAGTATCTAMGGTGAGTACACRTCCGTTTGAGGTCATAAAAAGAAAAATGTTAAGCATAATCTGGATTTATTTTATTTTTCACCATAGACGGCCAGTAGTTGTACCTATAGTTATGTCTAAGTACCGTTTGAAACAGAAGTTAAAGATAGATAGTTAAGCCGATAAACAATTGCATTTCTCACGTCTGTTGATAAAATAAAATAGGCCGAAGGAGAAGACGGCGAAGGTACCGAAGACGAAAAGACCGAAGACGGTTTGACCACCGAAGGCGAATCGGTCGCGGGCGATCTGACGGACGCGACGGAAGACCCACAGAGCGACAACGAAATACTCGAACCAGAACCAGTGGTTGAACCCGAACCCGAACCTCAACCACCGTCCCCGGCGCCAGAAGGTGAATTTTGATCAAGTTTGACAGCAATTGTCCAATCTTCAATGTGAACACGTTGACCAAATTATTGTTATTTTTTATTTTTTTTCTACACCAGAACTTTGGGCATACCTCAAGGACACCGTGTGCTCGAATAACCCACTCAGTGTCGACGACCTAGTTGATAAGCTCATGACCGCCGTCACGGCCATACCACAACCCCTACTGAACTCTGTGGTCAAAGACACTATCAAAAAACAAAAATCAATTGACGAAGGTGATTAAAAAAACTTTATAATAATATATTATAAATTAGCCACTATAGGCGTGTGTGTCTGTGGACAAAAGTGAGTTGGCTGGCGGAGCAATAAGTAGCCTATCAAATTGTTTTATATAATATATATGTTTTACGGTCATTAACATTAGGTGTCATTGGCTTTGGCTATAGATTTGGCGACCTGTGTTATCTATCACCTCGTCAAAATCTATATTATCACTATATATAGGGCTAGGAAGTGGTTGGATTTGCATGTTTTTTGGGGGGTATTTGATTTATTGCTAAGTTAACTAGCTCGAAGTTAGTTTCAGAACATTATGAAAAAAATATTAAAAGTTAATGAGGCATATTTTTGCGTGTTTAGTAACTTTGAAGTTTTAAGAGCACATTTCTTGATTTTACTATTT